CTGAATAAATAACAACATACCGACCAAACAAAGAAACTCACATTATAGCTGAGTATGGTCCATAAACCTGGTCAGTGAGTTCCAGTCTAAAAGGTGAAAGAGATTAGGAAAGAATTCAGCACTAAGAGAATAAAACCTGGACTAATGGCAGATGAAATGGACCTGCTAAATTGTACAAAATATGTAACCTAGCATAATTTATTTCAGAATTTGTTCTCATATGTGCAGACTCCAAATTGCAGAAGGGCACTTGTTCTTTTTTAATGCTATGGAGGAGTCAGTAGGACCTATGCATGGAAATTTTAGTGTTCATAAATGTCCCATACATCGATGCATTTGGGATGTCTTCTTTTATCCCCTGACCTGGATATCCTCAACTTGCTCTGTGTTTCCAAAGTATTTCCAATTCTGCGGATGGTTCACACATCCTGCTAAGCCATAATTTGTTTAGCTTTGGTCTGAATAAACCACAGTTAGCAGCATTTATACAACCTGTTATCCCAGAGGAGCTCCTTTTCGATCTGGGGCAGTCTGTACAACATGAAATGGTAAAATGAAGTCAGACTTGCAAGCCCAGGGAGAAGATGGCTTGTTTGGTTTTGGCTTGGGCTGATAGTGAGATTCTTGGCGGCTATGGAGGTTTGGACTTCTGGGGAGAGAAATGGTAAGTGACAGAAATGACCACAAAACTTGGGCCTTTCCAACTAATGTTTATTCTGTTATGGATTTTTCCTCCACCCCTCATATGGGCAATTGGGGGCTCATACAAAGATCAGAGAAAGTTCAGCCACTCTGAACCCTACCTTGAGTGTCTGTAATTCCGATATGGCCATGGTGACGTTTTCATTTCAAAATGTGCTTTCTTAAGAAAGGTCAAGTGACTGAAGTTGGGTAGCGGCCTACTGCACTGGCCTACGGCTTTCTGTGACATGTGGTGCCCAATTCAAAGTGCCAAACCTTACCCAGGATGAGACCCAAATTGGCTTAGCACATCATACGAACATGTTCAGTGACCTTGGTCAAGCTATATGGGTTTTAGGAGGAATTGTTCCCAAATAAGCCTGCTCAGTCTTAACAGCTTCTGGCTTCTTTCTTAGTCACTTAAATTCAGCTGCTATCTTTTCTCCTAGCAATCCTCGGTTGGAACCTGCGTTGACATTTCCAGGCAGAGTCAGTGCTATCAACTTAAGATAAGTTCTGAACATAGGAGGTCCTGCTGCAGTGTCATTCTTGAAAGTGCCTTCTTCATCTAGAAAAAAATCAGCTGTGCAGCTGATTTCTCTTCCTTGACAACTGCACGTACTTGTTGCTGGAAACAACTTACACCAGAAGCATTAAGGATTAAGAGCAGAATCTGCAAAGGGGGATTCTTTCATGTAAGACAGACTCAAGTTAAAAAGCTGGTACACTCCTTGCCGTGCTAGTTTTCTATGGCTGGATTCACCTTGTACTTAATTTAATCATGGTTTGTTGTGAGGACAAGGAGTTTTCTTGACTGGGAACTGAACTTTATTATAAAATCAGCAGCAGCAGCAGTTTCTAAGGCCACCGAAGACATGGTGGTGATGTGTGGATAGCCCTGTAGGTTTTGAGGGTAGGTGGTTGGATGTAGACCCCCCCCAAAAATAAAATAAAATAAAATAAAATAAAAGTATGCAATGAAAGACATAACACAGCTACGTTAGCTTTCATGTAAAACTATCAGGTTACAAGGTCATATGTGCTGAATTAACTACAATTGGCTTGTTTCACACAAGAAGCAGCACCATAAACTATAGTTTGTAAACCACAACAGTTGATTCAGTATACACACTCCCATTGGGCACAGCACCACAGTCTAACTGTTTAAAAATATATACCTCTTTCTTTTCACCTCCCTCCAAATTTATGGGGCAGAAGTGGGCAGAACACTGACCTGGTACATATTTAGATCCATAATTATATCAATACATTAAATCAGTGTTTCTCAACCGTAGCAATTTAAAGATACGTGGACTTCAACTCCCAGAATTCCCCAGCCAGCATGGCTGGCTGGAGAATTCTGGGACTTGAAGTAAATGTATCTTAAAGTTGCTAAGGTTGAGAAACACTGCATTATATCATCAAACACCACTGAAGCAAGCAACTGACTTCAAGGCCACACACATTCCATAATTCTCTAGTTTTGGACCTTGAACACTTAAATTGCTAATCAAGGTGACTGAGATTCCCACTACATCGGAGACCCATAGCATAAGGTATAAAATAGACTTAATATAATTTAAAAAGCTAAGGAAAAAGCCAATATCCTGCCCCTGCAAATAAGCAAGAGAAAACAAAGCCCCCCTTGTGGCAAAGTGTGTAACACTGCCTAATTCTCAACCTCAAAAATGTTACTTGTGCCCCCATTCATGAAAAGATTCCCCACACCAGAATTACAATGCAGAACTCTTAAGCCTCAGATTTTCCAGATGATCCATGGAATCGTGGAATAAGGATCTCTGCCAGTGATTTGCCTCTGAATGCCTACTTAGATATTCAGGCAATACAAATTGGCTTTTTTGTCCACCACAGATAATTTTAAGTTTCAGCATATATCCAGATGGAGGATCAACCCACATTTGGAACCGGAGTGATTGCTTTTCTTGCATGTTCATTCTCAAAGCCTGTACAGGAAACTTAAAAAGTTACAGTTCTTTTTATTATAAATGTATAAGCCACAGGCCTTGGGCTAAAGTGGGTACAGGCCCCTTGCATGTTATATGGCTCTTTTTAGAGCTTGTGGGGTTTCCCCCCAAAACGCCTGTTCTTTAGTTTGCATTTTTGAGTTGTTTTAACACCATATGCTGCCCAGAGTTGCAGTGGAGTTGGGCATCCTTATGCATTTAATAAATAAATATTTATTGTAAATGTACAATCCAAGGGACACCAAGAGCTTGTTTGAAAGGCTGGTTATGATTCTGGCTAGCCCAAAACTTTTTGCAGAAGATGAAACAGGCTCAAACCTGTTGGGCTGGAAGCTGGATTTTATTCAAAACTGGCAACAGGATGAACACTCCATTTTACTACAGGAAGAAATCTAACAAAAGGGGAAACACATATTCACTCTGCCTTCCAATGGAGAGAAGGATCCTACCAGTCCAGGAGCAGCTGGGTGGATCTATGGGGTAGCTACCCTCCCAGGATTATCCCATAAGATAGTTACCTCAGTTTTCCTAAGGATCAGTTTGGCTCCATTCCAACATTTCATTGGAATTGAAACTGAAAGTTTGAATGGAACTGAAATAAGATGCAAGGATGGGTGATCTAGGCTTAAGCAGTCTCATGAGGAGCAATCAAAGGCTTGGTTTCCAACTGCAACTACCTTTCTCAGGCAGTGTTCAAACAACAGGGTTAAGATGAGTTTATACCAGTGTTTTTTTTAACTGTGGCAACTTTAAAATGTGTGGACTTCAACTCCCAGAATTCCTGGGAATAGCTGGCTGGGGAATTCTGGGAGTTGAAGTCACACATCTTTAAAGTTGGCAAGGTTGAAAACACTGGTTTATACAATATGCTAAGCTTGATCAGTTTTAAAATTTCTTTTTTTTTTTTTTAAGAATACTCTCAAAGCTCACATTTAGTGACTTCACCCATGTCGTTTTCAGGCAATAGAACAGAACAGATCGCCAATGCTACTTTCAAGACTTTTTTGGAGGAGGGAACCCTTTCGAGGTTAGTCTATAGCCCCGGGTTTCTCAGAAGTCTCCAGATCGCAATCAGGACCTATTCTCTGTTTAGTTTCGGTTTCGGTTTCGCAAAGCAGAGCAGCCGCCACTCGCTGCATTGGAAAATTGGTTGGCTAATGGCTCAACGTACAAATCTAGAGAAATAGGTCCTTTCACTGAGCAGGTGTAGAAACAGCCTTGGTTATGAACCAGCAATTAAACTCCTGGGGAGATCCAGATTAAGTTCACCGCCAGCTATGGAAGAAAGTTCACTAGAGGTGAACTGTGATCCAAGCGCACACAGCTCCATCTATCTGCCCAAGGTAGCGACGGGGATGGGGAGCGAAGTGGAGAGAAATCTCCGCCTTATGGTCTGGAGGAAAGGCGGAATAGAAATCCCCCAAACCAAGAAACGGTGAACGAAAATCCCGTCCAGCAAACGCCCCGCGCCTAAGGCGTCCACGCGCACGACCCCTTGGCCTTCGCAAGCTCAACGTTCTCGGCGCCCCGTGCCTGCACGCGCGCACCGCCCCCCCTCCGTGGCCGCTTTAAGGGCTGCGGGGGTGTCCCAGCCCGGTTACGCGGTGCCTCCCGGGGGAGAGGGAAGGAGAG